TATTAAAGGAAAGTCAAACAGAACTTCTAGAAATGAAAGATTATTTCAAGTAATTATAAAATGCTGTGGAAACTTCAAAAATAGAATAGAATGGGCAAAAGAAAAAATTTCAGAGCTTGAAGACAACGACTTGAATTAAATACATCAGTTGAAGAAGCAAAGCAGAGAAATAAGGGGAATGGGCAAAGCCTACAACAAATATGAGATTATGTAAAGAGGTGTAATATAAAAATCAGGCATCCTTGAGGGGGAAGAAGAAAATACACAACGGTTGAAAAACCTATTTGAGGAAATAATGAGAAAAGTTTTCCTGGCCTTGCTACAAATTGAGATATCTAGGTACAAGAAACTCAAAGGACTCCTGGGAGATTCATTGCAAAGGGCCAAACACCACAACACATGGTCATTAGACTGGCCAAAATAAACACAAAAGGGGCATTCCTGTGAGCTGCAAGATGAAAGCATCAGGTAACTTATGAAGGAAAACCCATCAGACTAACTGCAGACTTCTCAACTGAGGCCTTACAAGCCAGAAGGGATTGGGGCTCCATTCTCAGTCTTCTCAAACAGAATAATGGCCAGAGTAGGTTTGTATCCTGCAAAACAAAGTTTCTTACAGGAGGGAGAAATAAAGACCTTCTAACAGGAGACCAGCCTGCAAGAAATATTTAGTATAACACTATATAGTTCAACAGAATAGACACTCATCAGTGTAAAATCACCCAAAAGGTAAAGGTCAAAGCCAAGATACCATAATGGCTCAGGAGATAAAACAAAGCAATAGAGTTCTACCTAACAAGATGAACAGAAATTCACCCCACTTCTAAATTCTTTTGATAAATGTGAATGGTTTGAACTCCCGACTCAAGAGACATAGGCTGGCTGAAGAGATAAGGAAATACAACCTAATTATATCCTGTCTTCAGGAAACACATCTACCCATAAGGGCTCATTCAGACTCAAACTGAAGGGGTGAAAAACAATATTCCATGCAAATGGCAACCAAAAGAAAGCTGGTGTAGCAGTTCTCATATCAGATAACATAGTCTTCAAATTAACAAAAGTCATGAAACACAAAGATGTGCATCATATAATGGTGCATCACATAATGGTAATGGAGCAATTCAACAAGAAGTCTTAACAATTCTAAATACTTACACACCTAAAAAGGGTGCATCCAAATTCATAAACCCAATCCAAGTTCATCTGAACAAAATGATAAACAGCAACACAGTAATAACTGGGGTTGTCAACACCCCTCTGACAGAACAGGACATATCCTCCACATAAACAATAAACAAAAACCCATAGACTTAAACAGAACTCTAGAACTAATGGTCCTATAAGACATTTATAGAACATTGTACTCACAAATCATTGAATATACATTCTTCTTCTCAGCTCATGGGACATTCTCTAAGATTGATCATGTCCTAGGCCACAAAACATTTCCTGACAAATTTTAAAAATATGAATTATGCCATGCATCCGCTCAGACCACAGTGGAATAAAACTAGAACTCAACTTTAACAGAAACACTCATCTCTACACAAAATCATGATTAAAAAACAACCTACTGATGAATGATACTCAGGTAAAGGAGGAAATTAAGATGGAAATCAAAAAAGTTTTTGAACTAAATAATAAAAGAGAAACAAGTTATCAAAATCTGTGAAATACAGCTGAAGCAATTCTGAGAGTAAAATTCATAGCCATAAATGTCTGTATCCAAAAGACAAAAATATCACAAATCAACAAACTAATGAAAGTTCTCAATATACTGGAAAATGATGAGCAAACCAATCCCAAAGTAAGAGGGAGAAAAGAAATAGTCAAGATCAGAGCAGAACTAAATGAAATTGATAACAAAAGAACTATACAGATTAATGATAGAAAAAAATTGGTTCTTTGAAAAAATAAATGAAATTCCTTCACCAGGACAATAAATTCAGCAGGCAACAGCCAGGGGTGAGGGCCAAAACCGAGGCAGAATTGTACTTGGCTTTATTATGAGATGGCGGCAGCAGCTCTGAACAGCATGAATTGGAGCCTGAGGGACAACCTGAAACAGCGTTTGCAGGTGATGAGCCTTGAGGAGCAGCTACATCAGTCCCATGCACTGACCCAGAGGTGATTGCCCACAGTGAGTATCAAAAGTTCAAAAGAATTTTCATCTTTCTGAGTATGCAAGATGAAACTGAGACAGAAGTGATAACCAGGGATGATTTTCAACAAGGCAAAACCTGCTTTATCCCTCACTACCAATTCCAGAGCAATCATAAGGATATGTGAAATTAGCATCACCAGAGCAAATTTCTTCACTTCCCCAAATGTCCTGGAATATTCATCAACCTAGTGAGGGTGATGTTTGGGAGTAGGCCTTGTCTACAGGCCTTGATCTTATCTTCGTGCCAGGTCTTCTGTTTGACAACATGACAGCCAACTGGGGAGGGTCTACTATAAAGCCTACTTGAGGCACGGTGTGCAGCATCAAGAAATGAAGCTCTACAGCCTTGCCCTGGCTTTCAAAGAACAATTTTGCCACTGGTTCCCAGTGGATTAAAATGACATGAAGGTAGGTGAAGTCCTTTATGAAGACTCCTCAATATGTTAAATTCACATCAAATAATTATTATTTTATATAAGAGTAAACAGAACGTATGTACTTTCCCTTTGTCAAAAATTACTTTAAATTGCACATTAAATGGACTGTATATTAAAAATTTGGTCATAAAATACCTAACATAGTAATGAAGCTATTTAAAAATTTTTTGTTTGTTTTTGTGTTTTTCTTTTATTTCATCATATTATGGAGGTACAAATATTGTTAGGGTTACAAATATTGCCCCTGCCCCTCTCCCTCCCCCCAATGTGTCCAATCCCCCGGTGGTGTGCATCACACACATTATGGAAGCATTTTTAAAAAATACAAACAATATTGATAGATCTCTATCTAGATTAACTAGAATGAGGAAAACAAAGGGCTCTAATAACTCAATCAGGAATGAAAAAGGAGAAATCATAACTGATTCCACAGAAATACAAAATGCGATCTCTGAAAACCATAAACATCTTCATGCACATAAACTCAAAAATGTAGAGGAAATGGACCAATTCTTAGAAACACACAGTCTCTCTAGGCTCAGTATGGAAGAGACAGAGTTCCAGAACAGACTAATGTCAAGTGCCAAATTGAAGCAGCAAAAAAAGTACCCACCCCCCAAAAAATGTCTTCCCACCCAAATTTTTCCAGACCTACAAGAAGAACTGGTAACTATCCTAAAAAGAAATTATTCCAGAACATCAAGAAAGAAGGAATGCTCCCCAACACATTTTATGAAGCCAACATCACCTTGAAACCAAAGCCACAGAGGGACTCAACAAGAAAAAAACTACAGACCAATCTCCCTTATGAATATAGATTCAAAAATTCTCAACAAAATTCTAGCAAACTAAAATCAGCTGCTCCTCAAAAATAATAATAATAATAATAATAATTTACCATGACCAACTGGGTTTCTTCCCAGAGATGCAGGGATAGGTCAACATATGAAAATGTATAAATGTAATTCACCACATAAGCAGAAGTAAAAACAAGATCATAAGATCCTCTCAATAGATGCAGAAAAAGCATTGCACAAAATTGAGCACCATTTTATGATAACAATGCTTAACAAAATAAGCATTGATGGGACTTGCCTCAAGATGATAAAAACCATATACAAGAAACCTACAGCCAACATACTGAATGGGGAAAAATAGAGCAGATGTCTTTTACACAGAATGTTTTTTTTTCTGTAGGTAGATGCCCAGTAATGGCATTGCTGGATCAAATAGTACTCTTTGTAGCTCTTTGAGGTATCCCCATTGAAGTGTTACAAAAATGGAAAAACAAGCACCACATGTGCTCACCATCAAATTGGTATTAACTGATCAACACTTACGTGCACAAATAGTAGTAACATTAATCAGGTGTTGGGTGGTAGGATAGGGAGGAGGAAATGGGTATATTCACCACCTAATGGGTGCAGTGTGCACCATCTGGGGGATGAACATACTTGAAGCTCTGATTGAGTTGGGGCAAAGGCAATATATGTAACCTAAACATTTGTACCTCTGTAATATGCTGAAATTTAAAAAGTGAGACATTGAAAACAATAAAGTAGAATTGAAATGTGGAAATAAACCTTAATATGTATCATCAATCCATTTTCAACATGTATGACAAGACTATTCAATCCAAAAGAAGCGTTTATTCAACAAATGATAGTGGGACATCTGATAATCACATGTAATTGAATGAAGCTGGTCCCATACCTCACTCCAATTGAAAACAATTCTGAAAGTGGATGAAAATTTATGGATAGGAACTAAAACTATAAAAATGTAGGAATAAATCTTAATGCCTTCAGATTTACCAGTGGATTCATAGATTTTGTACTAAATGATAAAAGGAAAAAATAGATACACTGGACTTCAAAATTAAAATATTTGCACATCAAAGGACATAATGAAAACATAAGATGACAACCCACAGAATGGAAGAAAGTATTTTCATATTACTTATTTAATATGAGTTGATTAAACACTGTAATGGGTTTACTGTCAAGAAACATAAACAATTCCACAGCTCAACAAAAAGAAAACATAAAACTGAATTAAAAAATGAGCAAAGGACTTGAATATCATGTGTGCAAAGAAACAGCATGCCCATCTTCATCTAATGGTGTCATATTTTATATTTTCTAACTTCTGTAATTGTTCCCATTTTGTATGAGAAGTGCATTCTATTCTCCTTACTAAAAATAATTCTGAAAGTGGATGAAAATTAAAGGATAGGAACTAAAAATACAAAAATACAGGGGTAAATTTAATGCCCTTAGATTTGCCGATGTATTCATAGATTTCACACTAATGATGAAAGAAAAAATAGACATACTGGACTTCATCAAAATTAAAATATTTGAACATCAAAGGACATAATGAAAATATAAGATGACAACCTACAGAATGGGAGAAAGTATTTTCATATCATTTATTTAATATGGGTTGGTTAAACACCTTAATGGGTTTAATGTCAAGAATATGTAAACAATTCTTACAGCTCAACAACAAGACACAAAACAATTAAAATGTGAGCTAAGGAGTAGAATATCATTTGTGCAAATAAACAGCATGCCCATGTTCATCTAATGGAATAATATTTTATATTTTATAACTACTTTGCAATTATTTCCATTTCATATGAGAAGTGCATTCTATTCTCCTCAGGTAGATTTTTTTTTGGAGTGTTCTAAGTCCTTTAATTCCATATGTATTAAAGTCCTACATTCTTCTTTTTAGTATTAAAAGTATCTAACACTCTATTAAGTTGCATATTCATTATGAAAATATATGTTCTATATTTATGGAAAAATAAATATTGAGAACAAAATCTATAGATAACTTATACAGAAAAGTGCCAGCTTTCTTTCTTTGTTCTTTTTTTTTCTTATTTTTTTTCTTTTATTTCATTATATTATGGGGGTACAGATATTGTTAGGGTTACATATATTGCCCCTGCCATCCCTCCCCCCACCATGCCAGAGCTTCAAGTGTGTCCAACCCCAGGTGGTACACACCACACACATTATGTAAGTATACACCCTTCCCTTCCCCCTTCCCCTGCCCACCACCCGATAATTTTTTTTTTTTTTTGGCATTTTGGTTACCAGATTATTTTTATTTAAATAAACTCAATGCATTCTAGCTATGAGAAACTTTAATAGTACATTTTCTATGATGCTTAGTGCAGATTCATAAATACAATATATATGTTAAGGGCTTGTCAAGCAGTGAGGCGTGACCATTTAAACATTCCTAGTACATTAAAGAACTACTCAGTGAACCACACAATGCACAAACAATCAAATGACTGTACTGTTGCTAATGTTTTACCTGCTCCATTTTGATCAGGAAACAATCAATAAAGTCTCTAGGGTTGTTAACATCCAATGAGTCTTGGTGTTCTTTTGCTTTCTCCAAAATGTAACTTTTTATAAAAGCAACATTCTCAAGTAATTTGTTATGGATTCCAGGGAAATAATCAATGAGAACAGGAAAATTATTGCAGAGCTAAAACAAAACACAATAATTTCTTTAAGAAAAAACATGTAACTATATATATATATCATACACCAAGCTGTGATAAGAAATTATAGGTATAACTACGAGTAAAATATGGTGTCCATATTGACAAAGATATTTTTATTGTGCGTGTATAGTAATTCTCTATGCTTATAAAAAGATTTGAAGGAGAAAATTCTGACCTGAGAATCAAAAATGTTAATTATTTCCTAGACTCATACATCATTTTTATTGCATAAAACACTTTTCCATCAATTCTCTCAATTTTCACACCAATTCTTCTCTTGAAAGCCAACAGCACATCAGAGTAGTTCAATAATTTCTCTAAGACCTAACAATTATTCTTAAGCACGGTGTACATCATGCCAATTCACCACAGGGTAACATTGTGATGCTTGTTTCTAGTTCATACACCACAAAACCATTCATTTCAGCAACCCAGTTGTCAGCTAGGCTCCCATCTCAGGCATCAAACACCCCTGCACTAGGCAGTGTTTCCTGACAGCTTCTATGATCCCAAATAGTTGCAGTCCTTGCAGGAGATATTCTCTTCTTAAATTAGGATACTTTTGCCAAGTATGATGAAGAGGTCTCTAAGTGTTGAGGACAAGTCATGTGGGTAACGGAAATCTTCAAAAAGAGCCTGGATGTGCATCAAATAATATAGGCATATTTGGGGCTGCCACCCACATACCTTATAGAAGTAGGGCTTTGCAGGTGACTGGAAAAAAAAAATCCAGCCAGAGAGCTAACAAGCTCAAAATCCAGCCCTACATTTATGCATTCACATCCCGTGTATAAAATCAAGGACTCAGCCATATATCCCAGATGATCACTTCATAAAGCTCTGGGAAAGACAGCAGTATTCAAACATGCACCCGACAGCTTGGTCCATATAGAATTTTGAATTTGTCAGAGAAAAGAGCATAAGTGCTTTCTCAGGAAGAAGAAATCCTAAACTCACCTGGATCCATGGGGAGCTTAGAATTTTGAAGTTTTCATTGAACTTCTCCATCAAGGTAAGAAAATTCTGATCTTTGTAATCAAAACGATTCTGGAAAACGATGGAGCAGATCACATTGCAGGGAGCACAATCCAGGATAAATGTGGGATCACAGGATGAAGCTAATGAATTCAAAACAATTTTTAAATGCCATTAAAATTTTAAAAACTTTGCCTTTGTAACAGGTAAAGGTAATTTTGAACTTTTAAGAAATATCTGACCAATAAATTTCCCTAACATCAAAAAATAATTCACAGGTGTGAGGGAGAAGGAGGGGATGGGTATACTCACACCTATCACGTGCAGTGCGCACCATCTGGGGAATGGACACACTTGAAGCTCTGTTTTGGGTGGGGCAAAGGCAATATAATATATGTAACCTAAACATTTGTACCCCCGTAATATACTCAAATAAAAAAATAAAAACTGGAAAAATAAATTCAGGATGCATAAAATCAAAACACTTCACTTTTACTTTAAATCTGTGTTGAACATTACAACCTCACTGGTTAAATAATGGAATTTCATGTGTGGCAATTCACATCCAATGCCTTTATTTACACCCTTTTATTTTTTTTAATTTTTTATTTTTTCATATTATGGGGGTACAAGTATTGTTAGGGTTACATATATTGCCCCTGCCATTCCTCCCCATGCCCCCCACCCCCGCCTTACCAAAACATCAAGCATGTCCTACTCTCAGGTGGTGCGCATTGCACCTATTTTGTAAGTGTAAATTCTTCCCCTCCTCCCCCCTCCCATTTGCCCACCACCTGATAAAAGTTTGTTTGTTTGTTTGTTCCCTTTTTTTGACCTTTGGGTTACATTGTATACCTTAGCCTTTCCCTTGGAAGGTTTAGATGTATTCCCTCTCCCCCCCACACTATGCTCACCACAACCCTAAGATGTGTATCTCCCCCTCCCCCAAACCCTAGTGGGCACTATCCCCATTTGAGCATCATAGTTTTAATCAGTCAGTACCAATTTGATGGCAAGTAGATGTGGAGCCCGTTTTCTTGATCTTGTGTCACCTCACTTTGGATAACAGGTTTAAGCTTAATGCAGGATAGCATAAACGGTGCTAATTCACTGTCATTTCTTAGAATTGAATAGTATTCCATTGTGTGCATATACCAAATTTTAGTTATCCACTCATGAATTGATGGACACTTGGGTTGTTTCCATGATCTTGCAATAGTGAATTGTGCTGCCATAAACATTCGGGTGCAGATGTCTTTATAGTAGAATGTTTTATGCTCTTTCGGGTATATGCTCAACAATGCTATTGCAGTGTCAAATGGTATTTCTTTATCTAACTGTTTGAGGTATCTCCATATTCTTTTCCACAGAGGTTGCACTAATTTGCAGTCCCACCAGCAGTGTAGGAGTGTTCCTGTCTCTCCACATCCTCGCCAGCATTTGTTGTTTTGGGATTTCTTAATACAAGCCATTCTCACTGGTGTTAGATAGTTTCTCATTGTGGCTTTGATTTGCATGTCTCTAGTGATTAGAGAAGTTGAGCATTTTTTTATATGTTTGCAGGCCATTATTCTGTCTTCTTTGGAGAAATTTCTGTTCATTTCCATTGCCGATTTCTTGATGGGGTTGTTTGTTTTTTTCTTGTTTATTCTTTTAAGTTCTAGATAGATCCTTGTTATTAGGCCTTTATCAGAGGTGTAGAGAGCAAATATTTTCTCCCACTCTGTGGGTTGTCTATTTGCTCTAATGATCGTTTCCTTGGCAGTGCAGAAACTTTTTAATTTGATGAGATCCCATTTGTTTATTTTTCATGTAGCGGTGATTGCCTTGGGGCTCTTCTTAAAAATTCTTTGCCTAAATCAAAGCAGCAACAAAAATAAATAAATGGGACATGATGAAACTAAAAAGCTTTTGCACAGCCAAAGAAACAGTCATGAAAGTAAACAGACAACCTACATAATGGGAGAAAATTTTTGCATCCTACATATCTGATAAAGGGCTGATAACTAGAATATACTTAGAATTCATGAAAATCAACAAGAAAAAATCAAATAACCCTATTAAAAAGTGGGCAAAGGACTTGAACAGAAACTTTTCTAAAGAAAGACAGAAGAAGTCCAACAACATATGAAAAAAATGCTCATCATCTCTAATCATCAGGGAAATGCAAATCAAAACCACAATGAGATATCACTTAATCCAGTGAGAAAGGCTTTATCAAAAGTCTCCAATAACAAATGCTGGTGTGGATATGGAGAGAGAGACATCCTACACTGCTGGTGGGACTGCAAACTATCAACCTCTGTGGAAAGCAATATGGAGATACCTTAAAGCGATACAAGTGAATCTACCATTTGATCCAGCAATCCATTGCTGGCATGTACCCAATGATCCAATGACACTCTACAAAAGACACCTGCACTCGAATGTTTATAGCAGCACAATTCATAATTGCAAGGCTGTGGAAACAGCCAAGTGCCATCAATCCAAGAATGGATTAATAAATGTGGTATATGTATACCATGGGTACTATTCAGCTCTAAGAAACAATGGTGATATAGCACATTTATATTTCCTGGTAGAGCTGGAACCCATACTACTAAGTGAAGTATCCAAGAATGAAAAACAAGCACCACATATACTCACCAGCAAACTTGTATTAACTGAGTAGCACTAAGTGGACACATAGGTACTACAGTAATAGGGTATTGGGAGGGGTAGGGGAGGGTCGGTCGGGTATATACATACATAATGAGTGAGATGTGCACCATCTGGGGGATGCGTCATTCTGAGAAATCAGACTTGTGCGGGGGAGGGGGAAAGGGCATTATATGAAACCTTAAAAATCTGTACCCCATAATATGCGAAAAATAAAAATTCTTTGCTAGACAATGTCTGATAGGTTTCCCAATGTCTTTCTTCTAGGATCTTAAGGTTTCATGTCTTAGGTTTAAGTCTGTTATCCATCTTGAGTGAATTTTTGTAAGAGGTGAGAGATATGGATCTTGTTTCAATCTTCTGCATGTAGCTAACCAGTTTTTCCAGCACCATTTATTGAAGAGGAATTCTTTTCCCCATTGGATATTTTTGTCTTCTTTATCAAATATTAGGTTGCCGCATATTACACCCTTTTAAGCCAAAGCGTATATTATTTTGGAATGAAAGAGAAAACATTTTTTAAAAGCTAATGATCCGGCCGGGCGCGGTGGCTCACGCTTGTAATCCTAGCACTCTGGGAGGCCGAGGCGGGCAGATTGCTCAAGGTCAGGAGTTCAAAACCAGCCTGAGCGAGACCCCGTCTCTACTATAAAAATAGAAAGAAATTAATTGGCCAACTAATATATATATATATAAAATTAGCCGGGCATGGTGGCTCGTGCCTGTAGTCCCAGCAACTTGGGAGGCTGAGGCAGTAGGATTACTTGAGCCCAGGAGTTTGAGGTTGCTGTGAGCTAGGCTGACGCCATGGCACTCACTCTAGCCTAGGCAAGAAAGCGAGACTCTGTCTCAAAAAAAAAAAAAAAAAAAAAGCTAATGATCCAAGTTTGTAGAGCAGAATCACATCTGTCTTCAAATCCTGTGACTATTAAAGCACAGAGATAGAAAAGGAGTGAATATTTTGGACGTGATATATAACGAATAGCTGAAAGAATCCTGTGTTGAAACAGTAGAAAGGAACTAAAGAGAGACAGAGATTGTGAGTGAATTCATGCACCGTAAAGAACAAATGTGAAAAGTACAATATAGCCATGTTACGGAGATGAAAAAGTAATACAAATGAACACTAAATGTAAGATGGATTTGTGTATCTCATAAAATAAAATGAGTAATTTTTATTTCAAGTATAAATGCAAGTTAGGAAAGCCAACAAAGTATTGATAAATGAAGTCTTTTCATTTCTCATTTCATTGATTTTTTTAAAACTTCCTTCCCTAGGAAATAAACCTTTGTAATTTACTTTCATTCTCAAAATTTAATTCATTTGGGAAAAGCCACTCTTTGTGGATTCTGGGACAATGTTCTCCATAGACATCAACACCAGTATGTTTTAATAAATTTTAACATTTGACCATAAGTTAAGCCAACACTGTCATTTTATAATTAAAGACATTCTATGAAAAAGACATCTGCATTAGAATGTAGCAGCACAATTCACAATTGCAAAGATGTGGAAACAAACCAAGTGCCCATCAATACATGAGTGGATTAATAAAATGTGCTATATGTATACCATGGAGTTCTACTCAGCCATACACACACAAAAAAATGGTGATCTAGCAGATCCTGTATTATCCTGGATAGAGCTGGAACCCCATTCTACTAAGTGAAGTATCACAAGAATGGAAAAACAAGCATCACACGTAATCACCATCAAATCAGTATTAACCAATCAACACTTAACATTCATTGAGTGTTGGGAAGATGGGAGTGGGGAGGAAGGGATGGGTGTATACATACCTAGGGTGTGGTGCACACTGTCTGGGGGATGGACACACTTGAAACACTGACTTGGGTGGGCCAAAGGCAATATATGTATCCTAAACATTTGTACCCCCTGTAATATGCTGAAATAAAAAGAAAACTACAAAAAAAGAAATTAAATTATATGAAAGGTTGTCAGTTTTTTTGGTAGGGAATCTCTAAAATGAAAATGTTGTAATTAAGTGATCAGTAACTTTTATATGTAAACATCTCCCAAACACACATCTGAAGATCCTAAATAAGAATGACCTGAATCGAAAGTGTTCTGAATAAATGGTAGGGCATTGAACAACTTGAAACCTGTTGAGACAGCTGCTTCTATACCAGGCTCCTTTCAACATTACAGGTCTCTAAGCTTTCAGAAAAAGTTTTATTTTAGCCTAGGAGAAGGAAGGTAATTTGCAAAGACTTGGAATTGTATCTGTGTGTGTGTGTGTGTGTGTGTGTGTGTGTGTGTGCCTGTCTGTGTGTCTGTACATCTGCACAAATAAAAACTGATTTCCAATCTTTCAATTCATTTGAAACAGAGAATTTTTATACAGATAATTTAGAATCCAAGCTGATAATCAGATTCACTGTAACAGGTACTATATGGGTTGGTAGAATTGGCAGGAGGAGGAAAATAATTATCATAAATATCTAAGCTAAATTCAACATAGGGAAGCTAGATAAGAAAAACTGAAAATAGAGCCAAAGTTCTCTTAGGAAAGAAAAGGTAAATGTTATTGATAATAGTTAAAATGTAGTTAAACAAATAATTTATGAATTGGTATTTGTGTGTTCTTCAGATTGTACTACAAAATATATTTGCTCAAAAAAGAGAAATCAACACAGTAAGAAATAGTAAATAAATAATTAATGCTGATTTTTTTGAATACTACTGTGTTTATAGAGAAATAATAATTGATAAGCATTGCACTGAGATATTATAGAAGATGCAAATGGAAGGAAAATGTACATTGTTCATGGATTGGTAGAATCAATATCATTAAAATGTCAATATTACCTAAAGTTATCTACAGAATAAATGCCATCCCCATCAAAGTACCATCATCATTCTTTACAGATATAGAAAAAATAATTCTTCACTTTGCATGGAACCAGAATAGACCTCATATAGCCAAAGCAATCTTAAGTAAAAATAACAAACTGGGAGGCATCATAATTCCAGGTTCAAGATGTACTACAAAGCAATAATAATTAAATCAGCATGCACTGGCACAAGAGTAGAGGCATCGATCTTTGGAACAGGACTGAGATTCCAGAGATGAAACCATCTGCATATGGTAACTTAATCTTTGATAAAGCAGACAAAAATATACATTGGGGAAAAGAATCTCTTTTCAATAAATGGTGCTGGGAAAACTAGATAGCGACATGCAGAACAATAAATACGGATCTCTGCCTTCACCTCTCACAAAAATCCACTCAAGATGGATAGACTTAAACCTAAGACCTAAAACCTTAAGAATCCTAGAAGAAGATGTTGAGAACTCCCTTTCAGACATCGGCCTAGGCAAAGGATTCTTGAAGAAGACCTTGAAAGCAATCATCGCAGCAACAAAAATAAATAAATGGGATCTGATCAAATCAAAAAGCTTCTGCACAGCCAAGGAAATTGTCATTAGAGCAAATAGACAACCTACACAATGACAGAAAATATTTGCTCTCTGCACTTCCGATAAAGGTCTGATAACAAGAATTTATGTAGAACTCAAAAGAATTAACAAGAAAAAATCAAACAACCCCATCAAGAAATGGGCAAAAGAGATGAACAGAAACTTCTCCAAAGAAGACAGAATAATGGACAGCAAACATATTAAAAACTGCTCAACATCTCTAATCATTAGAGAAACGCAAATTAAAACCACAATAAGGTATCACCTAACCCCAGTGAGATTGGCCTGAATCAAAAAATCCCAAAACAAATGCTGATGAGGATGTGGAGAGACAGGAACACTCTTACACTGCTGGTGGGACTGAAAATTAGTGCAACCTTTGTGGAAAAGAATTTGGAGATACCTCAAAGAGCTAAAAATACAAATACCATTTGATCCAGCAATAGCATTGTTAGGCATCTACCCCAAAGAGCATAAGACATTCTATTATAAAGACATCTACACCTGAAAGTTTATGGCTGCACAATTCACTATTGCAAGGACATGGAAACAACCCAAGTGTCCATCAATTCATGACTGGATTATTAAAATTTGGCATATGTTTATAAAGGAATATTACTCAATTATAAGAAATAACAGGGAGCTAACACTGCTTATATTATCCCGATTGAGATTAAGCCCATTATCCAAAATGAGGTAACACGAGATCAGAAAAATGGGCTCCCCATGTACTCACCATCAAATTGGTACTGGCTGATTAACACTATGGTGCTCAAAGGGTGGTGCTGTTCACCAGGGATTCAGGCCTTTAGGGGGTAGACCCACATCTGAGGGATTTGGTGAGCATTGTGGAGGGGAAGGGCATATCTCTAACCCTTGCTAGGGAGAGGCAAAGGTATTAAATGCAACCAAAATGTTTGTACTCTCAGATTTTCTTGAAATAAAAAAATTTAAAACCCAGCACACTTCAAAAAAAATTGCACTGAGATATAACTAAGCAAGTAAAACCATCATCACTAGCCAGAACTGTAGCAGGGCCTGGCAGAAGCACCCACACGTCAGTGAGTCTGACCATGCAAACATGGTCCAATTAAATGAAAGCATAGGTCACGTAGTAGGTGCTCTGTAAGTGTGTGATGGGGTCATTCCCACCATGACCATTTTTCATGTTTTCTCTCATAAAATATTCTGAAACAGGTAACTTATATTTATGCTATGGAAAAAGCATCACTCACTCTTACCAAAATGAACTCAAAACCTATACTCACGATTTCTGATTTGAAAACAAAGAAAAATGTTAAGGAGAAAATCAAATTAAATGACCTGTTATGTCCACACTGTCTGCACAATCTTGCCTGTACACACAGCCCAGATGCACACAAGCTCCCTGAGCTCTGTTTCAAACCTCCCTCCTCCACTGCAGGGCTGACAACCAAGACCCAAATGAAAGATCTGGCCACCCTTGAATGTGTCCAAGGATGTCATTAGCGATGACAGCAGTCTGCAGTGGTCAGTGATGCAGAGTAGAGAGTCACCCACCCTTGGTTTTTCTCAATTCCTCCACAAGGTAGCGGGCCTCCTCTTGGACACGTTCCTCAATGCTCCTCTTCCCCATCCCAAAATTCCGCAGGGTCATGAGGGTGAAGCGCCGGATCTCCTTCCACCTATTTCCGTTGCTGAAAATGATTCCTATCAGAATGGGAAACAGAAACTAGGAAAGAAATCCCAGGCGAGGAGGAGGGAGCTGACACTCCACAGGGACGTGAGTGGGCCAAGCTCTGCCCACCCAAGCTATTTCCATCCTCCCAACCCCCTTTACCATTGCTGTCTCAGGCACATGTACACTTACCAAGTCCTTTACTAATTCTTTCAGAGAGTGGGAAAAGGGCTCTTCCAGAAAACTCCTCTCCATGATCAATCAGGGCTTCCTTCACTGCTTCATATCCATGTAACACCACAGCGGGCTTCATGCCAAAGTACACAGTGAACACAGGGCCATAGACTTTTGAGAACTGGGAAATGGAAGCAAGATGCAAATAACAGCAAAAGAAGTCACTATTTGGTCCCTACTTGGTGCCTAATTCAGACTGATAGTATCACTGTATTATTTAATGTTTTAATTCTGCCACACATAGATTCAAATATGTCTGAATTCTATGCATAAATGTGATGGTAATAGTAATAACTTCCATTTATCAATGAACTCCTGTGTGCCCTGAAATGGCCCAGCCAATTGGTACACAAATTACAATTAATACTCACATTGCCAATCCCATTAAAATACCAATGTCACTTTTCACAGATCTAGATAAATTAATACTAATCTTCATGTGGAACCAAAAAAGAGTACAAATAGCCAAAGCCAGCTTATGCAAAAAGAGCAAATCTGGGGATATCACCTTACCTGAAATTATATTGTAAGGCTGTAATAACCTGAAGAGCATAGCACTGACATAAACATGGAGACATAGTCCAATGGAACGCAATAGAGACTTCAGATATAAAACCATATAGCTATGATGAACTGAATTTTCACAAAGCAGTCAAAAACATACACTGGAAAGGATGCCCTAATCAATAAATTGTGCTGGGAAAATTAGATAGCCACATGCAGAAGAATGGAGCAGGATCCCTTCTATCTCTTGTGATATACACAAAATTAATTCAAGATGGATTAAGTACTAAAATGTAAGACCTAAAACCACAAAAGTTCTAGAAGAAAAATGTAGGAAAAACTCTTCTAGACATTGGCTTAGGCAAAGAATTTAGGGGTAAGCCCACAACTAATGGAAGCAGAGCACACTGTATGGGGGAAGGACACAACTGTAGCCCTGGCTTAGGCAAGGCAAATCCATCACATGCAGCCAAAATGTTTGTACCACCATTATCCTAAATTTTAACAAAAAAAGCTTTACCAAGAGACAAAGCTTAATAAATACTTTTAAAAGTTGAGAAACAAAGAATTTATGAATAAGACCCAAATGTCCAAGACAGAAATGATATCAAATAAATAAATAGGATGATTCAATTAACAAGTTTCTGAACAGGAAGGAAAATAATCAAGAGCATAAACCGACAGTCTACAGAACGAGAGAAAATATTTGCCAAGTACACACCCAACAAAGGACTAATATCCAGAATCTACAAAGAACTCAACAAAACCACAAGAAAACACTAGTTACCCCCTTAAAGAGTGGCCAATAAGCATGAACAGAGTTTTCTCAAAAGAAGACAGACAAATGGCCAAGAAACACATGAAAAGATGCTCCACATCACTCAACATTAGGGAAATGCAAATAAAACCACAATGAGATTTCACATTATCTCTCTCAGAATGGCCATCATTGAAAAGTCTAAAATCAATAGATGCTGGCATGGATGCACTGAAAAAGGAATGATTATACACTGTTGATGAGACAGTATACTGGTGAAATCTGTATGGAAAACAGTATGGAGACTCCTTAAAGAACTAAAAGTAGATCTACCATTCAATCCAACAATCCCACAACTGGTTATCTACTCAACGGTAAAGAAGTCATAACTGCAAAAGGACACCTGTGTCAAAATGTTCATCACAACACAATTTATAATTTCAAAGATATGGAACCAACCTAACTGCCCATCAAGTGATGAGTGCATAAAGAAAGTGTGGTATAACCACCATGTGAATACCTTAGTGTTAATCAGTTAGTACCAATTTGATGGCGAATACATGTGGCGCATGTTTTTCCAACCTTGCGATTCCTCACTTCAAAGGATGGGCTCAATCTCTGGCTTGGGCGAGGCGATAATGTTATATGTAAGCAAAATGTTTGTACTCTCATAATATCCCTAATTGAACAAAAAGGAAAGTGTGGTGTGTATATACACCATGGAGTGGTACTCAACCATATAAAGGAGTGAAAGAATGTCTTTTGCAGCAACTTGGATGGAACTGGAGACCACTATCCTAAATGAAATATCTCAGGTATTTAAAAACAAACACCATATGTTCTCACTAGTAAGTGGACACAGAGGATGGGTACACACTGCCACAAAGAGATGTAAGGATACTAAAAACCAGGAAGGGAGAGGCTAGGAGGGCAGTGAGGGGTAAAAACTTACGTATCTGGTACAATGAACGCTACTCTGGCGACAGGCACCCTAACGCCTTGACTTCAGCATGACACAATTCATCCATGTAGCAAAAACACCTGTATCCTTTAATGCTTTGCCATTGAAAAACAAGCCACTTATCATGTATATTATCCCTATTTTACAAATAAAGAAACTGAGGGCAGAGAATTACAATTCATTTTCAGTGTTTCACAGGTGACATACAGAACATCCAAATTTGAATCCCTGCTTATTCAAACTCTGATGCTTGAGCGATTTATCAGTCCCTCATATTCACCTTGAGACCAGTACCCGGCTGACTACCTCAGGATCACGTGAGAAGGTCTTGTCATCGGGATACTGACTCAGTACCCCTGGATGAACACTCAAAACTGATATTTCTAAAAGTCACAACAGATGATTCTAACGCCCAGAACTTGTTGGGATCTGCTGTTATTACCAATGCTGAAAGAGTGAGCATCACAGAGGCAGCGCCAGGACTTGTAACATCTCCTGGCAGAACATTTTCCATCCACCAGCATTTTGTGCTACAGATAATAGCTTTCTGCAGAATCCAAAAGAATTCTGATACCACCAATTGTGTCCTGACTGATCACTTGTTTCTTTCATTCACTTATGGTCATCCTGAACCCGTAGCTACCGGCATTTCCTTGGTGTCAGACATAAACTCACTATTTGGAAAAGTTCAGTTCTCATGGCTATTCTGAATAAAACATATGGCTATTATGACTTAATGAATAAAATATCTAATCACACACACTTTTCGTACCATTTACTCTGAGTTAAAAATCACAGCAAATGGCTATAATACAAAGAAAGAACACAATACTCTGAACCACTGCCACTATATTATTTTGATTCTACAATACAGCAACCTAAATGTTTCCCTACTTACAAAATTCTTTACCTGATTCCACTATTTCTGTCGATGGCAGACTCTAAAATGCAACAGAAGCACCCAAGTTGATAGGGATCATTTTGCTTTACGATGATCTGTTATACCAATATGCTTCCAAGAGTGCATTCTATCTAAAATGGGAAGTCTAATAACTTCCCCTTTGTAAGCCACTGAAGGAGTACAAAGCATACTTACATTGCTGATAGTTTTCTTCATGTTCTTAACATCAATCTGTAAGATATTTCCAATAATTGGGAGAGGAGTGGGGCCAGGAGGGAGCTTCCCTCTCCCAGGGCTCTGTCTCCAGAGGAAGAGGAGAAACAAACAAGAGAGACAGAGCACCAGAACCACAGATGGGTCCATTGCAGCCTTCTCTTCTTACTAAGACAACTGTGAGCTTGCACTCCAAGGCTTTTATAACACTCCCTGCTAAAGTAGTGTCTGCTCTGTGACCTGCATAGTGGCTGAGCACATAGGCCCACTTGATATTCTCTGCTGAGTGGACTTTGGCCCACTGAGAGAGAGAAAAATAAAATGTACTCTAGCCTTCTTTCCAGTACCCGCCCTGCACATTCTGGTTTAATTATACGGGATCGCAGCCCATGTGTTGGTAATTTTCCTAAGGCCCTTGTGGTTTCAGTGAGCTCTCATGATGGAAGAACTGAAGCAAATAATTGATGAAAGAAAATCACCAAAAATTCTGGATTCTCAGAATCCAGAACGGCCAGCTCAGAATTTATTACTTTGAGGAAGATCAGTGTATTCTATGGTTTGCATATAAAATGTGTACGTTTGGATGCTATATCTAACATTAGCAGAGGTTGTCCTTGATAACAGAATCCTTTCAAATACTTAATATCGGTGCCTAAACATGAAATAGCAGACACAATACATACATCTACAACGAGAAAAGGTAAATCAAGTTATTAAACAATGAATTGATATGAATTTCAGTTAGATGAAAAACAACCTCAGAAGGCAGAAATTATCATTTCTTATTTTTCAAATGGGGAAGTGGAGGCTGGGAGAACAGGAGTCCTGTCAGTGCCTCACAGCTCATGGGAGGCTGAACTGGGATTTGAGCTGAAACCTTCTGATGCCCACCGTGGTGCGTTATCACTTACACCAGGGCTGCCTTGACAACACATTGGGCAAAACAAACAAACCCCTAAACATTAGTTACTCTGCATGTACCACACATTGGCACTGCTTGGAGTAACAGGCTTCTCATTAAAGAAAAGCCCCTTATTTGACTCCAAGGATAATAGCACCAGAGGTGCCCAAGAGAAGAAGTAAAAGACAGAGTTCTCCACTTTCCGTCACTGCAGAGGTGGGCGTTGCTCAGCACAACTGAGGCACGAGCCAAACTCAGAGATTTAGTGGGGAGAGTTTGAGAAACTATGGCTTCTCCACCTCCCAGTCACCTCCAGACACAGCTGCTTCTGTTGGATTTCGTCTGCCATGGTTCAGAAATGACAGAATGTAACAATATACAACAAGGGAGGGAAATTATAGAAGAAAAGTCGAGGGTGAAGTAGAGGATGGGAGATAGGGAAATCATTAACCAGACCCACACACAGAAGCACCACAATGTGCAGACATGAACAGGACCTGACTGACGGTCAGTGGTCATGACCAGAATGACATATGTTACAGATCACTGATGACAACCAGAATGACATATGCTACAGATCACTGATGACACTGCCTGTGCAAAGGTGTGCTCTGTAAAGATGTCATATTTGTTCTAAATTAACTAGTTCAGTTATTTCCAGTTCTTTTATTAAGAAAATTTTAGTTGTATTAAGACCTAGTTTAGGTCACAATGGTTTAGAGGTCATGTTTAGAGAGATTCTGACAATTTACAGAGAGTTTCCACACACACCATATACCTTTTGATTCTCTCAGGTACCTTTGCCTGAGGTAAAATTATTCTCATTTTGGGGAAGGGAATGCTGGGCCTTGGAGATCGGTACTTTGGCCAAGGACACACAGACTGAGGGTGGAAATGCTGAGTCTGGAATCAATAACCCGGCATTTGGACCCTACTGCAAGAAAAACATTCAGTTCAACCGGGTTCCTCCAAATTTACATATTGTGTACTAAGATTCAGTATTTCATTATTCAACCTAGTCAGTGACTTTCAACTTGAACATTAATTTAGTTAGATATTACAGCACCGGTTGACTAAACTGGGGGTCAAAAGACTTCGGTTTTACAACCTTTAAAACTTGAGTCGGCACAGGCATGTTAAACACTTTAACCAGAGCAAAGGGGAGAAATTTTCTACCTGACTCACATTGGTCTAAAAGAACCACACTGGCTTCTTTGGATAAAATAAGCTCAGTTGCTCCCTGGGGACCAATCATTTCCTTCCTTGAGACGTAGGTGTCCCTGCTCTGCTCTTCCTCCCTTCTGCTGAGCTGAGGCTCCTGCATGGACCTTTCTTTTTACAGAATGAAAGACTCATAGACAATTTAGAGGGATCTCTGAAATCAACAGTTCTAAGCTTTGTTTTGCTTTTTAGGAATGAGCAAAATTGGCGACTCAGTGAGATAAAGTGTCACCAAGGCATCAGCACAAGATATCATACTTCGCTAGTTCAACTCCAACATGGCAGTGTTCATTGCTAGTCCAACTCCCAGTTCAGGGACATCTCATATCCCATCTCGCAGAATTCTCATCTTGGCCCCCTTCATCAGGAGAAGATCAGCATTAAGCCCACCACAGCTGAAGGGTAAAGTGAGCTTTAGCTTCACTGGAGTTGTGGGTTAGAGAGGATTTTTTTTTAATTATAGAATTTATTTTTTAGAGGAGTTTCAGGTTCCCAGAAAAACTACATAAGAAGTACACAGGTGACCATATACCCTCTCCCAGCACCCACCCATATGCTCTCCCACAATAAACTATCCTAATCAGTGTGGTTTATTAGTTACAATCAATTATCCAACAGTTACACATAATTGTCAAAGTTTATAGTTTACATAAGCTTTGCTCTTTGTGTTGTACATTCCATGGGTTTTTACTAAAGTATAATGACATGTACCCTTCATTATAGATGCTATGTATCAAATTGAGAGAGTTCCTCTTCAATTCTAGTTTGCTGAGAGTTTTTATCATGAAGTTGTGTTGAATTTTGTGAAATACATTTCCACATCGTTAAGATCATCAAGCGATATTCTCTTCTTTAGCAAGTTGAAGTAATGGAATACATTAGGGGATTTTCAAATATTGAACCAGTCTTGCACACCTACAATGAATCCCACTTGGTACTGGTATATATTATTCTTTTAATATACTGCTAAATACAATTTGATAATACTTTGTTGAGGAGACTTGTATCTATATTCCTTAGATATATTGGTTTCTACTAGTTCTTTTTTATAATGTCCTTCTCTGGTTTTGGTATTAGGATAATGCTGGCCTCATAGGATGTGTTAGAAAGAATTCCTTCTACTACCTTCTGGAAGAGATTGTAGACAACTGTTGTAATTTCTTTCTTAAATGTTTAGTGTTTGTAATTCACCAGTGAACCTATATGGGCCTGGTGCATTCTACTTTGGAGGTTATTAATTAATGATTGAATTAATTTGATAGATAAAGGTCTATTTAAATTACCAATTCTTCTTGTGTGAAATTTAGCAGATTTTGTCTTTAAAGACTAATTGACTTCGTCTAAGTTATTATATTTGACGATATAGAGTTGTGCATAATGAATTTATTTTCAAAGAACCAGCTTTTGATTTCATTGATATTCTTTATTCATTTCCTATTTTCAATTTCAGCCATTTCTACTCTGATTTTTATTGTGTCTTTATTCGGTTTATTTGTATCTAATTGGTTATTCCTTTTCTAGTTTCCTAAGGTGGATTGTTGCAATGCTGATTCTATGTCTTACTTCTTTTCTAATATTTGTAATCAGTGCAATAAGTTTCCCTGTAAGAACTATTTTCACTGTATTCCACAAATTTTGAAAAGTTCTATTTCTTAATATGAAAATATTAAGTGGGTACAAATGTTTTTGTTACATGGATACCTTGTATAACGTTTAAGTCAGGGCTTTTAGCATGCCCAACACCCAAGTACTATTCATTATACCCGATAGGTAGGTTTTTACCCCTTCCCTCTTCCCCCTTCCTTCCTTTTTGATTTCCAATTACCTTTACATCTTTCTGTGCCAATGCATACCCACCGATTAGTTTCCAATTATTGTTTTTCCTTTCCTGAGATACTTCACATAGGATAATGGTCTCTAGTTTCATCCAAGTTGCCACAAAAAACATTATTTCATTTCTTTTCATGGCTGTGTGGTACTCCATGGTATATATAAAACACATATTGTAAATGAACTCATGAATTGATGGGCACTTAAGTTAGGCACAGTCTTTGTGATTGTAAATTGTACTGCAATAAACAATCAAATGCTGGTTCTTCTTGATAAAATGACCTCTTTTCCTTTGGATAGATACCCAATAGTGGGATTGCTGGATTGAATGATAAAGCTACATTTATTTCTTTAGGAATGTCAATATTATTTTATACAGAGGTCTGACTTCTTTGCAGTCCCAACAGCAATGTATAAGCATTCCTTTCTCTCTGTGTCCATGCCAGCATCTACTGTTTTTTGACTTCTCAGTAATGGCCATTCTGACAGAGAAAAGGTGACAACTCATTGTGGTTTTATTTGTATTTTCCTGATGTTTAGTGATATTGAGCATTTCTTCATTATTTTTGTTGGCCATTTGTTGTCTTCTTTTTAAAAACTTCTGTTCATGTATTTTTACCACTATTAAATGCGGTTGTTTGTTTTCTTCTTGCTAATTTGCTTCAGTTACTTGTAGATTCTGGTTACTAGCCCTTTATCAAATATAGTTTGTGAATATTTTCTACCATTGTATAAGTTGTCTGCTTACCCTTTGATTATTTCCTTTGTTATATGGAAGATTTTTAATTTAATTAATTTTCACTTGTTCATTTGTGTTGTTGCTATATTTGCTTTTGGGATATTAGTCATATATACCTTACCTAGGACAATATCTAGAAGAGTTTTCCCCACATTTTATTCCAGAATTTTTATGGCTCCATGCCTTTATTCAAATCTTTTATCCATCTCTAATTAATTATTGTATAAGTCAAAAGATAAGCCTCCTATTTCATTCTTCTGTGTGTGGCTGTCTAGTTTTCCTATAAGCATTTATTGAATAGGACTTCCCTTCCCCCATGTTTGTTGTTGTCTTCTTTTTCCAAGAACAAGTGGTTGTAGGTAGATGGTTTTATATTGGAGTTCTCTATTCTTTTCCATTGTTGTGTGTCTCTACTTTTATACCAGTACCATGTTGTTTTGGTTACTATATCTTACAGTAGTACTTAAAGTCAAGTAGAATGGAACCAGAGATAATTGTCCTTGGTGAAGTATCGCAAGATAGGAAAAACAAACACCACATGTACTCATTATTAAACTGAAATAAAGTAACAAGCACAGA